GTTGAAACGATAGTACGTAGCGTCTGTAAGTATGAATCTATATCAAAAACAAGCAATAATTTATCTTAAATGTAAGTTTATATTACGCGTTATGTAGTATATCATATTTTAGGTGTTTTCCATTCATTGTTTTAATTCTGAGCCAAAATCGAGCCGTGTTTTAAATAAATACAATTTAGAATATTACTCAAGAACGCTAGAGTAAACTGGATATATTGTTATATTGAACATTACTTAAAATTTTAAAACTAATTATTTAGAAATTCAACTAGGTGAACTTTGTCACTGCAAGGCCATTGAATTTATTATTCTACGCTTCTGAAAGCGGGCCTAGACCTAGCCTTGTTGACAACAAAATATAGTCTCTGTATGTTTATTTAAATGTCGTTGAAGTTAACACCGATTTACTTATTCGGCAGTGGATCGCGTTGTGATGAAAAAAGAATTTAATTTTAAGGCTATCAAATTCAGCGGGGGATCTGAGGGTGCGGTTAAAAAAAATATGTTTAAAATAATAAAAAAACCGTACCTAGATCCACTGCGGTTTTGATACTCGCTCCGCCGAATGGGTTATGTTTATTTGTTCTAGCGAATGGGCGCGCTGGGATTATAGTATGTTTCACACATCCTTGCGCGCCGGAACTTCAGTTTGACAAAATGATTGTAATCACTAATTTTAATGTAATTTTTCTTAGTCTCAATTGAGCTTTTATTAATTTACGATAATTTAGTTTAATTCATCAGAGAGATCACAAGGATAATGCTGCTTTCAAATTGCAAATAATTATAATTTAAAAAGAAAAAAGCAAATAACGTCTTGTTTATTGATTTGAGCACATAAGCTAAAGTAAATTCGATTATTTATATATTTAAATAAGATTTAGGAAATATCATGCGATCCGTTTTAATTATTTGAAATATTTTAAGGAATCAAAGAAAATAAGTATAAAACAAACTGCTTAACTACACGCGGTTGATACTTTGCATTATATTTAGTACAATTTAATTTCCACCATCTAACATCCTATCTTAGTGACGGTTCTTATGATTCATGACGATTAATTAGGTATTTTAAAATGAAATGAAAAAAAAAGTATAAAACTAAACTAAGTGATTGAAGAACAAAAATTGAAAATTATTTAGTTGGCAACACACCAATGATCGAAATCAAAAGTAGTTTTTGGTTTTAGAAATTGGTTTTATATGTTTTAAGTTTTTAACTATAAGGTTAATTTTTAACAGTAGCCTTCGCGGTAGAAGTTCGTTAACTTTGTTTCTTATTTTAGGCTAAGGTTGTATATATTTTGTAAAAAAAAAAGTTGATACGTAGTTTAAAGCTCTAATTTCCTTATTCAATGTTTTTTTTTTACTTCGTAATTCGTTTGCGTTATAAAGCAACCCTCTTCAGTGACATCTGTTTGGTGTTGTGTAGCCAATTCAAATATTTCGTGGTGTTTAGGTAATGATTGTGGCTAATGCGTTAGTTTCCCTTTTACGGGAGGGATGTCTATGTTAATAATGATTTAGGCTCGAGGGAAAACGATGAAAAATGAAAAAAGGGTGAATCGGCCAGGTTTCTTAATGAAAATTGTGATATAACAGTTCGATGTCAGGTATATAAAGGTTGTTTACTAAATAGCGTTTTATTGGTGTGAAACCATATTTTGGAATGATTTTCATCGTTCGCGTCGCCGTCTCAATATGGCTGGTCGAGTAGGAAATATACGATAGCTTGCCGAGCGTCGCTTCTGTTGCCGATTTGTTGTTCTTTATACTAATACCTCTGATGTTTCTGCCAATTACTCATGAAAGTGGAATATATGCACGTAGCCCTGTCCTCGGCCCTAATATGAATAGTGCGAAATATGTTGTCGAAGTTTGCTTCATGTATATTATAAGAAGTGTTTCATGCTACGTTTGTAATGTTTGTCCATAGCAATACTAATTGAAGGATATGGGTGTGTAAAGAAATTCGATCGCTTATTATGTACAAACACGCGGCGTGGAAATGGAAATGAAAGTTAGTTTATAATGTCTCGTGTCGACTATCGTAGTAGGAAATGCGAATTTAACGTATCGATAACTCGTTTTATTATATAATCACGGTTCTTTTATACTGTTGTTATACGAATATATACATGCAGAATATCGAAGAGCACGCGTCTCAAAATTCCTATAAATCAACATCTGTAACATATTTTTACACTTGAAAAACTTAAGAAATTGTTTCTGCTCTAAGATGCGAGAATTAGTTAAACAAAACATTAAAACTAACGTGTTTAACGCAAGCGCAATATATCGGATTAGCTACTAGCTTGACACAAATTTAAAAATTGATGTATCAACCGCATTGTACCTAATATGAATATATTTTTTAAAATGGTTAGCCTTTGTATGTACAAAGTGTTGCGGAAAATGTAAATCGTAGGGTACACATAAGAGAGCTTTACGGGCTTGAAGTATATATTCGAAGCGTCAGTGTGTTTACAACTTTGAAAAATTCGTACAAGTTCACTTTCGGAACTGTAAAAGCATACTCTGTTTCCGAGACGTATTAAATCAATTTCTCGACGCTCTCAAACGTCGATTCAGTTACAAATTTTGGCACAATTCATTTCATTGTATCGACATTAGTTTAAAGACTGATATATGACGTATTTAAACTTTATATTTTGTCTATCAATCTTTATTTTTAGTTACTATTACCACACGGACAGATTGTTATTAGATTATTTTATGGTACGCCATAATCATGATACCACCAAATTATCAGTTTTCAGGACAGATTCAGCTAGTATAAAAAAGGAAAATATTAATTTCTACTAATGACACCAATAATAAACAGTATTATATCATATACAAATATTTTATGGATTTTATCGGGTCCATTTTTGTTTAAAATTCACAATGTAGTGTTCAAAACGTTGAGAATTTAAAACAATATTGAAAAAGACAAAATGCATCAAATTCTATCATTTAACCTTAAAATATTAATAAATATTCGAAATGGGCAAACTGTTGAACTTTCGTATTCTACACACTTTACATGTTTTTGCCGTCATTATTAAACCAATACCAGGAATAATTTATGTATTATTAGTCCGAAAATTTCTGTTTTAAGTATCCGCGAATATTTTCAACAGATTGGTCATTGCCAAAATTAAAATGTACCACACACAGACTTGAAAACACTGTTTGTTTTTCGTAAACGCCCATTGCGTGATGTTAATCGACATTGTATGAGGGTGAGAAAATGCCGCGAATTGCTATGAACCATTGTCGGCAGCTGGAGATGCTTGTTTCAGAGAAATATTCGGTTGGAAATACTGTGTGAACTCGCAAGTCCGATGTGAGGCAGCCTTGTCCCGTTTGCGATATAAAATATGAAACTCCCAAAGATATTCGTTCTTGAATTTATTTTTCTAGAAAATCAACGGGAAGAATGTTACTCGATGTAAATATAGTTTGTAATGATAAATAAAAAACATTCTTTCTGATGTTCTGTCTTTCAATCCAATGATCCTAATATGATGGATGGTGATGATTACTTCATAGAACCTGAGGATTCGGAAACAAGTTTGTATTAGCATTGATTATAATTGTCAATCTGCACATATCTTTATTACATAATTAAAAGTTTGTCTACTGCAGAAGTTTGTAAACTTAGGTAAAAAACCAAACAAGCAATGGTGATTGGCTTCAAAATCTTGGCGTGTAATACGCGTGAAAACCAATATAAAAAGCTAGTTGTCTCAACCAGTCACTTTTGGACAACAGTTGTCTTATTTTAGAATGACTACAGTTAATTAACAATAAAAACTAAGATAACTAATGCTCGAAACCAACACTCGATTTCTCATTCTAAATTTTGTTAAAAACAGACTTGAAACGAGTATTGTGTCGAATACAAGTATTATATCTTATACTTATACTTTAGTCAGGTATATGTGTAACCTGAATATATTGAATTAATTTACTAAAATGTATTTTCTTGTAATCATCACAGTAGTTATAGGTCCACTGTACAAACCTATAAAAATGTCTAGACGAATTTTATTCAGAGGCCATAATCGACTAATACTAATTAGACAAATTACAAAAAAATACAGACAATGGACCAGTAAAAATAGGATTCGTTGCAAGTACAGTTTTAAATATTGTGGAAGGGAAAACAACATTTTTGCGGACGGGATTTGAAAAATGAAAAGAGAACTCTTTAAAAACAAATATATTAAAACCAAAACAACTTCTCAATAATGGGAATGTAATCGTAAAAATCTATAAACGTAACAAAAATAAATTAATAATATTTGGCTTCCGTCATCGTCCCGAAGTTCTCTTTTTCAAACATAGCGTAAGAATGAGAATTGCAATAGATAAGATTTTATATTTATTTTTTATAAATGGTAATAATTTGATTTACAGTATAGCCAGAGTAATTTAGAAAGTTTGCGTATACATGTAAAGCCCTGTTTACATTATCATAGAAATGTATTTTAAATTAGGTCGTTTAATAAATACAATACAAATAGTACATGGAAAAGAACATATAATTTCACATCAGAGATTATTTCTATAGTTCGATCATAATATAATTTATGATTAAAAACAAAACGTTATTACCTCATAATTAATACACGAAGATAAATGTACTGCTTCCATTTAGAAAAAGAAACTACATACAATGAGTAACGATTTCTTACTTTTATATATATTTCTTTAATTCAGTCATTACTATAATGTTGAAATATTATGCGTAAAATAATATATATCATTTTCAGATATTTTTGTGTAACTAATAGAAGTTTACTTTTGGCTGGTATTTCTAATAATAATTCAACTGTGATTTGTCTCCCCATTTCAAATTTTTACTCATTTGGACAAAAAAATATTTTAAAAGAAAACTCAATAGTAAAACAATGCCTTAGATACTAGTTTTACGCATAATGTTCCAATAAAAAAATTACGTATCTATATCCAACTAACATTCCACTGAATCATTTCTTCTTCTTCATCTGTTTCGCTTTCTTCTTCTCCTCTCGTTTCTTCTCTTTATCTTTTATGGATTTGTAGAGTTTGTAGCCGAAGAACACTGCAAAGGAGAAAAGTAAATTTAGCTATTCATTATATAATTATGACTTGCTGCACGCAGAAATACTCCTATGACTGAAGACCCTATATCTAATAAATTATAATGCACATCCAACCTCATTCTCGCAAAACTAAGATGATTTTTTTCTAAAATACATTACAATACAAAAACATCTCGGTTTATACTGTTACCAATTCTGAAAAGCGTTCGGAAACATGTAAATATCAAATTTAACGGGATACACCTATAAATTTTAATTTCCAACAATCAAAAACTTCATCTATTAATAGCATATAGTATATTTGTGTATAAGGAAAATCTTTCCTTAATAAGTCTCTTAGGAAAATGTTATTATTTTTTGGCTCGCTGCGTGTAATATTAGGCTTATCGGGCTGGATGAAAAACGGTCAGCAATATTTATAGTTCAGACATCTACGATTACTTAACGAGCCAACGCAAATACCATAGCAATCGGATTTCGTAATTAGTGTAACAGAATGATTGTTTGAAAGATTGTTGAAAAGTCAAAGCAATATTACGATTGGTCAGAAAATGAGGGAATACGCCGTGAAACCAGTCACCGAACAGCACTGTCACTGATAACCGATGGGGATTAGAATATCTCCAAAATGGAAGGCGTATTGAGAGACAATCGGTGGATGCAAACTTGATAACTCTACGGCACAGTTATGAAGATATGGCTTCGGCAGAGGGTCGTTGGCTGGGACCGTACAATCTCACTTTAGAATTAAGCTTTATGACAGGTTAACCCGTACCCGTTTTGATAGAGTTACATCATCAAAACCCAGTGAAATTGGTTAACACCTTTGTTATGGTAACCACATTAAGGTTTAAAACCCCTTTAATGAATTAAGCCTTTGAAGAGGTTACGTTACGTTAAAAGCTTTAATTTGTGTTACCGTACCTTGAATTACTTTATAAACTTGAAGTGCGTGTAGGTGAGGGAGTACTTACACTCGAGTGCCGCCTCATCGCCTAACTAGGTATTTTTATTTTGTTTTTACGACTTTGACAACAAGTGACGACAGATAAGTAGGATGAGAAACACAGGTAAGTGATTATTATTTAAAAAAAATAGTTTTAATGTTTAATCTTAAGTTAAGAGATTAGCGCTATAAAAACTTTAAATTTCTAAAAAGCAATGGCGACATCTCTTGTTCGAGTTATCGTTGTAAAACGATATTCGAAATTGTTTGTATGCTGGAAAGGATATAATAGATGCGCCAAACATTGCTTCAAATGCTAAAACACAATGCAGATAAAAGACGTTAAGATTTTCGTCGATGTGGCAATCAGCCGTTTAGCTTAGTGGCTAGAGCGTCAAGCCGCGAATGCCGAAGACGTGGGTTCGATTCCCACAGCGGCGACAATCTTTTCGCACTTTTTCTACAAGTTTTAATGTTTAATTTTAAGTGCAGAGATCAGCACTATAAAAAACTTTAAATTTATAAAAAATAGTGATTATGTTATTATTGTGACATGTAATTATTTATATTAAATAAAGTCTGGCTGTGGCATTTTCATAGAAAAAATAACTATTCTTTGCTATTTTATAAAAGGGAAGTATTACAACATAACCTTGAACATAAACATCGGTACTTAAATTGTTTTTAATTACTTCCGAAGTTGCGTTGAAGTTTATAATTAAATGACGAATGATGAGAATAGACTTCGATTTCTCCTCACGCCCCTGGTTGACTGGTAGAGAATGCCGTTAGACATTAAGTCCGCCCTTTGTAACCCTTTTTTAAAGTGTTTCAATAAAGAATAAATAAATAAAGTAGTAAATACACGAAAAAAGTAATATTACGATGGCATGTGGTACTAGAAAAATTAAACCGTAAGGTTAAATAGACAATAATTATTATTCCATGTTTGCAAGTGGCTCGGTATATACAATCAGAAGGGCCGCCTCGCCGGGCGATATAATGCGTTATGTAACTTTCAAACATATCGATTTCGAATAGTGCATATTACGATATCTTGAGTTGGAATGGCTAACCCTGTTAAAGTGTTACAGGGTGTTCAAGGGTTAAGCTGATCGGAATGGGTTACATGCATCCGTCCCGTTCGAAGGCTTTTTAAGCGCTTAAAAACCGTTTCAAAAACCCTTTCAACGAGTATCCGCCCGGTTACTGGTCGTGGGTTCGATTCCCATACAGGCCAAATATTTGCGGGGGCCACACATATTCGTTTCCGATTTGAATCCGGGCTTGAATCTATGTCCACCTGATGTTGAATGTTTGTAATACGTCCTTAGAACACCGGATATAGTTATCCTATAGTGAGGGCAATGTTTTCAGAAACAAAAAAGCAGTTGAAGTAAATCTAAAAAAAATTAATTATTACACAATTAATATTTAATAAATTATCAATATTTTAAATAAATTTGTAAGTTAAGAAAAAAGGCTATGTAAAATTAGTTTATGTCAAGTCGATAAGTATAGTAACCGTTATTACTCGTTCAAATTCCTTAAAAATATAAATTATACCGCCAAAACTTGAATATTTAAATTTCAAGTTTAGTAATAATTATCAATTATCGTCGCCGGAAGGTTAGCCGAAGGAATAATCGATTCAGATATAGATATTTGCTATAGGCATTAAAGCGATTTAAAAACCTGACATTTTATCTCTTCATATCTTCCCGCGGTAACAGATAATATTCCGATTTGGCAACCTAATAATTTAGACAGTTGTTTATCGTTTAATGTTGTATTCGACGACGTTAAAGACATGAAGAGTAAGTTTGTTAAAATTGTTACAGAACAAATGTCGAGATTCAGAGCTCCAAAATGTTCATATATTATTTGACTGGATTACAAACAAATAACTGTACGAACAAGTTAGTAATTATAAAGTCGAACATCGAAGAGCACCCAGGCAACTGCTTTTATGCTTTAATCAGATTTAATATTTAAATCAGAGATAGATCTTCCACCATAGCTGTCAAAGTCAAACTACACGTCAAAAAATCAGAGAGGATGGTAATAGACAAAATGTTATCGTCGCACATAGTGTTGCGAACACCAGCGAGGTAAGAGGCGTTGCCACAATAGGAAAGGTGAGTTGTAGGTTGTAGTATTTTTCAGACAAAACCTAAAACAATGAATACGATCACAGGTTCGAAACGGCCGCTTCATAAAGGACAACAGGTGCTGAATCGCTCTGATGTCTCGTTGGTGCTGTTGCTAAGCTTCGGCATCGGGGGTTGTAAGTTCGGTTCTCATAAGGGATATTTGTTTGCCCCACAAATAATCGTTCCGGATCTGGATGTTCCCAAGACTAACGTCAGGCGGTGTGCGGGCCCCTATCATACCTAAAATGACTTAACCTAAACCACTCACATGATTCATGTGTTGTGCTGACCCCACCTAGGTGGGAAGGGGTAGGACGATGATGATGATGGCTTAGTGACTACTAGAGTTACTCTAAAACTATAAGCTATATTTTATGTAAGAAAATTCGTGATAGCTTGCGTTATGGTATAACGAGCAAGCTAAACTAATGAAATTCATCTTTTATTCTATGTAATATGAGTTGTTTTCGTGTTCTGATCAGAGGTCGGGACTATTATAGTTTGATGAACACAAGACAAGCACAATTAAAAAAGTAAACTGTGCATTTCAAACCTAAAATATCCGATTTATAAAATTAGGTCAGGTTATTATTATTTTAATCATTACCGTATACCTATACCATAAAAAGTGTATGTTTCCTAGTTTAATATCAGTAAGTTTGTATGTTTCCTTGTTTAATATCAGTTTAATATCTAAATTCCGTCTACTGCCGCTTATATCCCGCGTTATTATGCGCGCGCTACGGTCCGAAGTCCTGCCTGAACATAGGAGTGGTAACAGACAGAATGACATACCGACGGCCACGAACACGACGAAAGCGCCGAAAGCGATGGTATAACGAGCAAGCTAAACTAATGAAATTCATCTTTTATTCTATGTAATATGAGTTGTTTTCGTGTTCTGATCAGAGGTCGGGACTATTATAGTTTGATGAACAATGACAAGCACAATTAAAAAAGTAAACTGTGCATTTCAAACCTAAAATATCCGATTTATAAAATTAGGTCAGGTTATTATTATTTTAATCATTACCGTATACCTATACCATAAAAAGTGTATGTTTCCTAGTTTAATATCAGTAAGTTTGTATGTTTCCTTGTTTAATATCAGTTTAATATCTAAATTCCGTCTACTGCCGCTTATATCCCGCGTTATTATGCGCGCGCTACGGTCCGAAGTCCTGCCTGAACATAGGAGTGGTAACAGACAGAATGACATACCGACGGCCACGAACACGACGAAAGCGCCGAAAGCGACGAGCGCCAGCTTGTACATGATTGCGTTCCCGATCGCCTCGTTCAAGCCGGAGAGGTCCAACGGAACGTCTTGCAGCTTCGCTTGCAGTTTAGAAGCCAGGGCCTCCTTAAGCTGTGTTGCAAATTGGACCTTCTCCTCTTCGGACATCTCCGTGTACTGCCTCATCACGCCCTGCAGCCTCTGCTTGATCGCTTGGGACTCCTCGTCGTGGGGCGTGGCCGCCATTATGTTCTGTAGCAGCGACATCACGTCCATGCTCTTGATGGACTCCGTCAGCTTGCCGGTGATCGCGTTGCCGATTTGCGCGCCGATCCCGCCCGGTTGTCCGTCCGCCATTTTCCTTTTTTTTTCCCGTTGACGAAAACAAAAGGGGTTTAGGCCTTCGAATGCGTTAGTTGGCAACTTAACGTCACCTCGCAAAATCAATAGTGTTCGGTTCGATTATGGTGACGCCGGTATGTTTTTTTTTAATAGAAAGAGCGAGAAAGCAAGATAATTAGAGATCTATGATCATATTACACAGTCTTGATTTAAAGTGAGATCTTAGAAATTTAATTTACATTGTTCACATGCATGCAAACTGTGTAAATGTTTAATTTAATATATCAATAAATAAAATTGAATGAAAATATTGGAAAACAACAGTACAGAATCAGTATGTCAAGGAATTGGCAGGAAAAATTTGATTTATTTTAAATTTGAGACATTTATTTATAGAATAAAAAAATATCCTAATTAACCCTATCATCTCCAAAAATCAAAATACAGCATACATCTTTTCTGGTGTGTCAATGCACTGATTTATATGGAAGTCGACAATGTGAACAAATACTATTGTTTTATAAATTCCTCAAAATGTATTAATTATTTGTTACTTTCATGGGCGTTACGAACATTTTGTCTAAAGTACTTTAAATACCTATATTAAGTTTTAGTATTTTATATAATGTATCTCAAACAAGATCAGAGTTACAACTCACTCTTTTAACAGGAAGTGAATCTATTTGTTGTTGCTAATATATTATTATAGAAATTATTTATACTTCGATGAAAAATTGTTATAAATAAATTACGATAAATATGAATTTAGTGTAAATTAATGGCAGAAAGCAACTCACCACGGGTTATTAAGTCAACACCTTTACACGAACTGCTTTATTTGATGAAGAACACTGATTTATCTTCAATAATGCAACAAAACATCGTACCGAACTTTAATACGTATACACATATCATACTAATCGATATAAAACAAATAAGTCTAGATAACACATGTATAAAAGTCACTTAAAAAAAAGTACAGATAACAACCAATAATAATACAAAAAAAAGTCGATGTTATTACATTTTGATAGGACAGTATCACTCCAAGCTCAGATATTGAACGCAATATTTAAGATAGTAGATACGAAAAAAATCATGTACTAAATTAAATGGGAGAAGAAGATTCAATTAACTTTATTCCCGATAGTAATTAAAAACATTTTATAAACTACAGGCACTTGTCAGTTTCTTAAAAATAATAAAACACGTAATCGAGGAGCGATTAATGTTTATCGATAATTGTTTACTCAATTATAGGCTACGTGTGTGGAGTCAATACGTAGATTTTCTTATCAAAAAACATTACATAAGCGAAATTAACAATCGAAAAGGAAATTGGGCGTCGGTAAGACCGATTGGGGTATTAAGACACTGATTGGAGAACCCATTAGTTACACAAGTGGCGCTTGAATGCAGACTGACTGACGGTGTAAAAATATATCTGACATACATCCCGTATTATATCGCAACAATGTCGCAGCGAGAAGAAATATCAAACCGAGCAGCGATCATAGTTCAGGCCTCTAGTTATACCGTATATAAACTGAAATATAATGATAGAGAGGCATGATAAAAACACCAGATGATGCATAAGTAACTTTATTATGCAAACAAATTAATAATATACGGATTCTTAGAGACCTTCAACAGCATAAATATCTTGTAGACTTTTGTCTTGTTTAGGTGTATGCTCTAGTGGTGGCTAGAAAATTCGGCCAGTGTGTTAGAAAGAAAAGTTTTATGAACATATTTATACGCAGTTAGTTGTTTATTTTCGATATTTTTGATCTCGATAAGCCTAAACTATTTTTGATCGGCCACCAGAATTAAGTTGTTCTCTAAGAACGTTTTTTTTTTATAAAATTTTCGGTCGTAGATCCTGTAACCGAATGTTACAGGTTAATCAATCATTGAGTGCACAGATTTCAGAAAGGGAATGCACTAAAAAAATTTACCAATTTCCCTAAGTGCTTGATGATAACAAAAGGACACTTAGATGATATCCAAAGTGGCCTTTGAAAAGGCTCTTAATATAACTCAAAAAAGAAATGATAACTTTACCGCAATTAGTGGGTTTCTATGTTTTGGGATATGTATGTAAGGGATAACAGAGTAAGCAAAACTTTTTCGCATGTATGGAATGCACTATGGCAGTGATTGAATCATAAGATATATCTCCAGAGGGTAAATGTTGTTCCACCAGGTTTAGCCTAGTCATGACACTAACGTCGATGATCTCGAAACTAAAGTTTACTATTGGTCCTATCGACTTGTAACGTGTCGAAGTACTTACGTTGGTTGCTGCTCATGCAGAGCTAACGCTAGACTTAGGTCCATTATGTTCCCTGGTAAAGCGATCTAGACTAAAATACGGTCAGAGTCATTGAATGATTCGATAGGTAAATGCGAGTAGGCATGTAGGCGTACTGTCTGCGGCTGGTAGTAACGTTAGGTATCCCCTGCCCGTCGCCAGGCGACTAAAAGACGTCTACGGCTTGATAAGGCCCTGGTCGTAAGTGACAGGATAACTAACAGATATGTGTCTGTAATCTCTTTTAGCGAAGGATAGAGAGAGAGAGAGCTAGGAGAGGCGTTTCTTCTACTGCTATTTGCTTAAGAACAGCGAGGGACATGTGCATCCAGCGAGTTGCCATTAACCCATACGTCACATCAAAAAAGCGAACTATAACTTGTAACAGGTACAACAGTTTGCTTTGCTGTGTCTTAAAAATGTTTAATCAGAGAACTATACTGTAGTACGTGGCATCGATTTTATACATCACATATGATGCGTTGAATAAAAACTGTTTAGATAGTTGTGATAACGTAAGTCGCCATCCCGACTTAGTTGAGCGCACGTTTTGATATAACAGGGAGAAACCTCACAAAGCGGTCTAATTAAGCTGTAAGTGTGCCTGTAATGTACACGATTAGTCCGTATAGAATCACTGAGCCGACAATACGTCGATCGCGGAGATGAAGACATCAAACAATTCTTGGCCCAACGCCCACGCTATATCCTGACAGAAAACGGAAGCCATCTATTTCCATACGCAACCAGAGGCCTTTTTATCAGTCCGAAATCTGAATTAAGAAGAGAACGACACTGACGTCACAGCTCGCATTAAGTGACGTCACGCATTCGAACTTACGAAGTACGGCCACGATGAGCACCACAAACAGTATCGCCAACCACGTGCCGCCGCCGCTGCTGCCGAACAGCTGAGGAGCGTTCCCGGAGAGCATGCTCCTCAAGTTGCCCTTCAACTCTTCGTCCATGTCAGACTGTTCTAGCATCTCTAAGAGTTCCTTTTTGGAGGGTGATCTCGCCCCATCCTCGGAACCGAGCAACTCCTGCAGTTTGCTGAGCGTTTCGCTTTGAACGTCCCCCATTCTGCACACCGGCTTTCGCTATTCACCGGGAGCTAGGTTGAAAGGTACACAAGGTTACATTGCGAATGGTTTAACAATTCGCCGTTAATTTGATGTTGATCAGATAGGCAGTTATTTTTGTTCATTCATCCAACACATGAATGTAATATTATATGAAGAATCAATTTGAAATTTGGACGGTACTTTAAATAATTCATTATGTTTAATCGGTTATTATATACAAAGGGACTGAACTGAAACAGACTGACCATCTTGTGACCATTAATACTGTTAATTATGAAACAAAAATAAGTCGCGATAAAATCGAGAATTAATTTTATCAAAACGGTATTCTTTTACCAATTTAAAAAAATAATTATGCAGTTAAAATATTTAAAACGGTACATACTCAGAAATTACTCGAAGTTATGTATATCACATAGAATGAATACTCTTTACTCACACGACACTTAATGATGCAACGTTTTACACTAAAAAATATGTTATAAGTACACTTTGGATGTCATTGGCCAGTTCTTATCGATTTATCTGTGGGACATAATAAAAGAAAATAATACGTGTCGGTACACGTGGAGCATTAAAACGATTGTGTGGTTCAAGTGACAGACTGACGTTACTCGAGCATCGTATGCAAACTTATTAATTTCAAATTACACGGCGAAATCATTGTTCAGTTCAACATATTCATTTTAACGTTAATACTTTGTTTGAAAATTGGAAAAATCTTATGACTCACTTATGTGCCCTGCATAAAAGGCAAATTGTCTGTATTGTGTTTATTTTCAGTTTTAAAAAATTGATTTAACCCTTGAAAAGAGGGGAGGTATAGTTAATGCGTTTTATATTTTATTGAGCGGTGTTGTCGAAAGTGAAGAAAAATATCGATATTTATAAAAATATCAATATCGGCTTCGATATTATCTATATACTGATATTTTCTTAAGTCCCCGTGTCCAAAAAAAAAACATATGTCAAGTATTAAATATTTGAATCTACGGACTAAGTTCCTGATTCGAATTGGAAGCAATATCGTTTTTGATACGATTTCCATATTGACCATATTGATTTTTATTTTGTAGTGACCGAATTGTGAATCTACCATTCTCGAATGTAAAAAAAAAATGAGTTCAGTCACACGCATACGCACAGAAGAATTATATATAAAATGATATCCCAAATATAAGCCTGCCGCCGATCAATGGAGACGAAATGTGACATTGACTTACGCGTAATTCATACAAAAAAAAACGCGTTATTGCACACCATTAACATTTTCTCTTCTTTGTAATCCATAGCTTTCAATGGCAATATTCGGATTTAATTCTTCTGTCATGAATTTATTTAAGTTATTTATATATACAGCGTGTCGTTACCACAGCGACAATAAATTAACACACGTCTAAGGGTACTTGCCAATAATCATAAAAAATGTAAAACAGTAAAAAAACCCATAATTAAAAAAAAGATATTTTTCAAACAAACTAATTAAATAAAAAAGAAACAAAATTTGTAACATCCTATACAACTACAACTGACTGATTCATACATTCACACAATTTTTATTCGTTGCCGCAGCGTCGCACTACAAACTCTCCTTCTAACTGTATGTTTTATCTCTTTCAAATTCATTCAACATAATCATATGCTTTGTGACCTTTACTAATGAACTTTACGTTACCGTTTTATACGTAAGGGTGTTCTAAAAACGTTAGTTTTGGAAAATTTTATAACTCGGTAAATATTGATGTTTAAAGAATGTAAATGTTTAATAAAATTTAAAAAAGTTATCCTCTATAATATGTGTGTTCACTTATGGTCGCGGTGGTAACGACGCGCTGTATAGTGTCCGACCGAAATTTCGGTTTCGGTTTCGGTCGAGTTTCGGCAAAAAAAGGAGTTTCGGTTTCGGTTTCGGTCGAGTTTCGGCAAAAAAAGGAGTTTCGGTTTCGGTTTCGGTCGAGTTTCGGCAAAAAAAGGAGTTTCGGTTTCGGTTTCTGCGGCAAACCTGCTGAAACTACGACCAAAACCGAAACTGTAATCGGGAGTTCTCGCGCTATGATCGGTCATGTTCGACGCGTTAAATTCTATCCAAGCGAGTAAGCGACTTAAGACCCATTTACACGGTGCAAATTTCTTGCCTGTTGTATACAATTAAATTGAAGCAATAAATGAGTTGCATAGTCTAAACAACAAATGGTCTAACAAATTATTGCGCGCAATTTATTGCATTCAATTATTGCTCTTGTATGTACAAGAAAATGGCATCGTGTAAATGGGCCTTAAGACTTGATGGGTCGTTCAAGTATTTTTCGTACATACCGTTAACTACATAACGTTAACGTTGATTCATGTTCGCTAACTAGTTGGATCGACTAGTTAAATTTGTCAATGAGTTAATGTAATGCTTATGTCAATTTGCATGAATGAACGGATTTCATTTGACGAGGCGACGTTAAATGAGACTAAATCGTCTGATAAATAAAAAATTAACAAAAAAGACACCATAAACATCACGTATAATTCTGATAATATTTATGATAAGCCGTAAAATTATTTTCGCCCTTGCGTGCAACTGTACACAAATTGTCAAACAAGAAAGCGAAACTTCTTTGAGAAAGGTGGCACTGTCACAATTCTTGTCAGCAATAACAATTTGTTACTACTGCTGAACAAACTTATTCAGACAGAAGAAGCATTCTGCTAGGCGAAAATGTTGATAAACGTTTTTCATCTCTAATTGAGATTGTTTAATTATGAATACTAATAAGAAACTTAAAAACCTTTGTAAACTATTAGCGTCTTGTCGTCGCCTCTTGCATTCTTATGATTACGAATACTTTATAATTTAGCATTTTTTGTTTTTTTTTTACATTTTTTTACTGAAGTGAACGAATAAATTTAGAAGTTAATTTGTTCTTAAACGAAAGTGATTTATTATTTGTGATATTATACTATATTAATACTTTTATAAGGTAATTAGTTAGTCATTAATTTTATGTTTAATATTTAAAAAAAAACATGAATAATATTCAAAAGAAGAATCTAACTTCTCAAATAATCTACTTTAAGTCACCTATTTTATTTTTTCCTTAAATGAGAGGTTTAAAGGAGAGAGAGAGAGAGGGTTAAAATAGTGTCCGACCGAAACCGAAACCGGTTTCGATCGGACACTATTTGTTAAATTTGTAGAAAAGTACGAAAAGATTGTCGCCGCAGTGGGAATCCAACCCACGTCTTAGGCATTCGCGGCCTGACGCTCTAGCCACTAAGCCAACCGGCTGATTGCCGTTTATAATTATGTGATAAACAATGTTAAGCTCATTATTTAACATGTTTGTCTGTCTTTCTTTCTGCTCTTATCACACGCTTGTGGCGTCCCCATAGCACACAAATAACGTTGCTGGTTTATGTTTTTTTACCATAGGCTGTCTCTGCCTCACATCAGCCCTCCTTTGAAGCAAATACCCAGACCTGGATCAATTGTCTGCATGTAACACAAATACTGTTCCTGTAGAAGCATGACACCCAGCATAAAGCCAATAGCTTAGGAACTGCATCATTTAGTTCTCATAATATTATATGCAAAATTATTCAGTGTTAATAACCATAAGCCGGCTTTTACTTAAGTTTGATTCTTCAATAATTTCTTTTAATCTGTAACTTATAAAATTCTTTCAGACAATAATATATTTTTTTGTTTTTCTTGACTTTTAATGTGTTGCATTTAAAAATGTCCAGACTATCTGTGATGATATAACAATTTTGACTTAGTCTTCTTCCCCAGATGCTTCAAGTAATTTATTTTTAAAATTTTAAATATACTTTTAAATTAATGTGCATTATAATTAAAAATATAAATATAATTTTAATTATTTTTTTTAATTTATTTATTTATTTAAACTTTTACACAAAAAAAAATTAGTATTGTGTATAGGCGGACTTAATGCCTAAGGCATTCTCTACCAGTCAACCTATGGGCGACGCAGAGACAAAAGAGGCAGGTGTAAAAAGTTTCAAACCAAATTTTAATTTAAAACAAAAGTTATATATATATTCATATAAATATAAAATATAATTATAAATTATATCAATTACATACAACTTATAGGACTGTATGTATAAATTCTCAAGAAATTTCCAATGTTACAATAAAGAAATGAATAAAGATGGTGACAGTGGTCAATTATCTAAATGGGTATATGGCAAATAAGAAAGGTGACACATTTTGTAGTGCTAAGGTTTAATGCAAAATAAGTAGTTATGCAATTTAAAATTTATATATAAGCATTTTTGTGTATCTATGCATGGAATTATCAAATAAGGTCTGTTGAGACTAACCAACTTGCAAGACCATCATAACATTTGGGACTTAAAACATTTTACTAAATAATTTATTTCATGCGATTAAGGTTTAGACAGTTCATCTAACCTTATGTGATTACATATATGTGATATTAATTGTATTGCATAGAATAGTGTTTTTTTTTATTTATATGTAATTAATTTAAAAGGTTTCCTTCCATATGAAAATGTTGTGCATACCTTTAAGATAATTACATAAATATAGTATAATTCTGTTGGTAACTGTAAAATATTTATTAATATTGTTCTGTATGTATTTATTTGGTAACCCTAAATAAATAAAATAAAAAATAAATACATTTTATTATGTTATGTAGCGATGCAATTGCATTGTCAAACTTACAGTGTGGGCTGTGGTTACCTCGCTCAAACAGAAGACACATATGTAGAAACATTTCTGCTTCAGTTTAGACTTCTGTAAGGCTGTCATACTTCTCCAGATGAGCTTTTCCATTCATACTACATCAGAAAACCTCTGATTTCTAAAGATATATATTGGTCATAGAGGCCATAGACTGGTTTAACCAAGTGATTAAGCCACTTTGTAAAATGGTGCAACTATAAATATATAAACATATTTATCATCAATATCGGGAAGCAGTGACTTGGAAATTCTTGTAAATAGAAGAATAAGGTAAAATCTTAAATAACACATAATCTAGCGGCTATGTGGCATGAGGAACATGCAGAAATATATGATTTGTTTTTATTCATCCATTAAAAAAGTGGCTTAGTAAGGTGCTGATGGGAATAATTTATTTTTGCATGGGAAAATAATTATTCATGTGTTACTAAAATAATTGGTCAAATTTACAGCTCCAACATACAGAATAATAGAGAAAATAATTATGTGAAACATAATTACTTAATCTTAATTAAGAGTAGGATCATATAAATAACTGTGAACTCATGTAACTGGTCATCTAGCTGGTTAAGCAACATAAGAAAAATTCTATGATTTAGGTTTTGGATTGGTCTAAAAAATTATCCCTGAAATCTGTACAAACACATAAAAAAATACAAAGGTATATAGAGTTTAGAAATAATTATTTACTCACCAGTTAAACTGATAACAACAATTCCAGGGAAAATAAATACAGAATTAGAGAATGCATGTTCTAACGGTCCATCTTGGCCACCACCTAAGTCCACCATTGTTAATAAATACTTAGATTAAAACGACAGAATAATACTGAAACGGTCCCGATCACAAATAAATAATTAGATCATAGAACAGAAAGCAACATTTGCTTTTCTAAATAGAAAAAGCGGCGAATACATCGCTGACGAATAATAATAACAAAACCTGCCATTTAATTAACCGTTGTCCGTTAGTGTTGCTGTTGCCGATCATAAACATTGAACAGCATACAAAAAAATTATTAGATTTTAATAAAACTAAAGAAAACACTTAAATGTCAATGTTATAATGACCAATGAAAATGATAATGACAATATTCAAAGAAGGTTTAATTATTTACCATAATATTTCATTCGGTTTATTTAACGTAATTTTAAGGAAAATAAGTTGAGAGCTTGTTTTTCTTTTTGCAGATGTTCGTATTAAATAGATAAAAAAACACTGAAACAGCTTTAGTATACGTCGTATGTTTAATCAAAGGTAAACAGTACCATTAATTTAATAGTACGATTAGGCGTTCGATTCCCCCAAATTTAGGGGTTAAAATGGCGTTGGGATTTTTTAGGGTCGTTATATATTTAGGCTAGGATTTTTTTCCTATGTTTTATTTCTTTTTATTTTATTTGATTAAGAAAAATAAAGGTATTACAATACATGGCCTGAATTAATGCAATCTCCCTAATCATAATCATTTATTTTTTGACCTAGCGACATCTAGTACGGTTTTTCATTACTAAGAATGCTGAATTATGGAGTGTAGAGATAAGTGTCCGTCAATACGCATTCAACAGCGGTGGCGTAGGATTTTAAGCCCTATTTACACGAGTAAAGTGTTTAGTAAAGCGGACAAGTGAGTAAGTACAGTAGTGTGAGCTGTCAGACAGTAGCGAGTCAACTTGGTTTGGAAGCTTTCTAGCAATTAGACCCCAAATAGAATTGCTTTCTATTTTTTGGTGCAAGTGCACCCCTCGTGCGCCCACTGTACCCCCACGGGGCATTTGACTCATGCCGTAGTGTAAACAGTCAAATTAGTACAGTGGCCGGCAACCGCACGTATTGTTCTTCCATTTCGATTTCAACAGAGAAATCCACAAAAAACCAGTCATTTGTACGGTGCCCACCACTGGCCACTGTACTTGTACTCGCTACTCGTCACTGTCCTTAACCAAGGTAAATCGGGCTTTAAAGAAAACGCCAAAAGTAAATATTTTTTTTTTTCATTTATTATGAATCTCATTTTTAGAATTACGGTAAAAATATTGGTTGTCTAAAAAAATCATAACAGACAATATTTTATACAATTTAAGTATAAACACTTTTTACAAGACCATCATTTTTGCTACAATATCCTTCACTTCATTATTCATGTGAAAATAGAGGTAAAAATCTTTGCGCCATTTATTATTTTTTTATAATATTATTTAATTAGGAAGTTTTTGATTTAAACTTTAGGGAAAAATAGTTTCGAGAGTTGGTAACACTGACGGTGAATTAATTGTTGAAAATTTCAGGTCACACCTGCCGGGTGCGAAAAATCTTAAAGTAACTGATAAACTTTCGGGCGTAGAAATACTTTATCCCATAACTGTATTATTTTTTTTCATCAATTTATATTTAGAACAATTTAAAATAATTTTTAAAATTAATTATTGAATGTATGAATACTTTATTGTTCGATACGCAAAATTATAAATTTTTAAACTCTTCAGGTTTGAATTTTAATTCATTCAATAATTTTTGCCTCTAAATTTTTCTCTTCAATAAGCATACTTACACCACTTTTTTCACTTTTCACTGTTCTTATATCTTTTCTATTCAAAATTAACGCAAAGCCTATCAATGCTAGTGCGTTATTGTCCTCAATCGATGATATCGCAAAAAGAACTGACTAAAAACCGCTCCTGACTGATACACCGGAACGTCCCCTTACATAGTACATACTTCTGACGTGCAGTTGACCTGTGAAAGTAATCTTCGTTAGACCGTAGCGTGCGGCATACATGTATACCACACACCACACATAACACGTATAGGCATGTTATCAGACAAGGAGTTCCAAAGTAGTGCAGCTTGAACAATGCATGAATTACTTAAGATACCAGTACTATGAGGAGGGATAATAATATTTAGGTTATATAGGGAACGTATATAGGGAACGGAAATCTCTTAGATTGTTCAGGCAAAAGGAAGAGAAGCTTTATCACTCAAAATCGAAAAAATAGCATTGTTTAATAAGCGGTTATACATGTTAACCTTCAACCTTCAATTCTACACTAAGCAATGCTATACGCCAAAGAAAATTGAAGGAAATAGTAATTAAAATTTGTAGAAAAAGTACGAAGAATGTTCGTCGCTGTGGCAATTGAACCCACGTCTTCGGCATTCGTGGCCTGACGCTTTAGCCACTAAGCTAACCGGCTGATTCCCACACTGACGAAAATCTTAACGTGTTTTATACAATTTTCGTCGGTGTATGTCGTCGTTAATTTTACATTATTTTTTAGCACTTGAAGCAATGCTTGACGGATCCATTGTACTTTTCGTACTTTTTCTACAAAATGTTTAATCATAAGTGCAGAGATTAGCACTATAAAATTGTTTAAAGGAAATAGGAATATCATCTATAAATCATCCGTCTGCAATCTATGAGCTATGGAACTATAATTTACATTTAGCAATTTGGCAGTCTTTTAAAGACAATTCCGAAGTATAAGGAGTCTACCTACTGCCCTGGCCGGCAAAAATTTTGTCTTATATCCCTTTCTCGTTACATTCGTATCGTAGCAGTTTCATAACGCCTTCTCTCTTTTCGTACTCTCATCTGTATCTGTAAAAGACAATCACGGACTTCACGAATGGCGTACTTACTTGAAGTGGTCACTTCATCACCTGCCATTGTTGACTATGTGTATGGGTTTTGACTTGCTGATTAGGATGTAGTGGTTGCACTCAGTTTGGCGGTACTTCTCTATTTTTCTCCATTTTCATGTTTGTGACAGGTTTCACGCGTGACAAAGGTTTCTCTTAAGCGGTAGTGGATTTTAAAATAAAAAAAAAACGATGTTATGCAATGGGCTTCAGAATAATATTAGGAATATTGATGTGTCTAAATAAAAGTACTATGTAATAAACATTAATTTTATTTTTGCAATACACAAATATGTATATCTTTTGGCCTTATAGTAACATTAGTGTACAGAATACCTTAAACACTTTTCCACTAATGAAACGGCGATACAACAGTTACGGGCAATAATATACACATTATTTATTCTTACAGATTATGGGAGTAAGATAGTAGTATATAGATAAAAATGTTCATGGAATGTGTCGACCCTAAAGCTGCAATGCCATTCGTATACAATTTGAAATTTTTGATAGAAGATTTACGTTTACAGCAAAGCATAATTTTTTTATATGTATACTAATCAGTCATTTTGGATCAAATTCATTTGTATTAAATCAATAGTATTTGAAGACCCTCAACTTGAAAAGAATTATCACAGAATAATCTGAGGCAATCTTCAAATTTTTACCTAAATATATCACGTCACTTTTTTAAATTTGTGTAAAGTTTTATAATTTGTAATTGTTAAAAGCTCAAACTTTAATAGATTCGTACATTTTTATAAGTGATAGCAATTAGAACTATAAAAAAATATATTTTTAGGTGTATGTTTAGAATGACATTGAGCATAATTTCAAAATTATATCACCAATACATTCTTATCATAAAAAATATTAGTAATGTATTGTCACATTACTGGTTATAATTTGGAGATTCTTATAATATCTTAATATGGATATATAAAAGTTCATTTAGTTTAGTAAGAAAAATAAAATATTAATATTACCTACTATCACGGATTCAGCAAATACCTTTGTAACCAAAAACATGGCAACACACACTTTAAAAAATAATCATTGTTTTAGTTCACACAATGCTTAAGATTAATATTTAAAATTAATTCATAATATTTTACCGAAAAATATTGCATTTATTTATACTAAATTATATGAACTAAAACAAGGATTGTTATTGTCTAACGTTTTTTCCTATTGATTGAATGGAAAAATTGTAATTTTAATTCTTTTTCAGGGGATCCAGGTGGTCTATTGAAAAGTCCTCGTTTCCAAAGCTGATCCCTCTACTGAATCCATCCTGCAAAAAAGATTGATATTAAATTAATCACATGGCAAGAAAGTCAAACAACTCTTTTGCGAATAAGTAAATTCATCAACATAAAGATCATCTGTTTACCTACTAACTACTAACCAACTGCAAAATTTATGTTAAATAAAAAAAATTTTTTTAAAAAAAATTGTTTTCTTGATCTCTGACTTACCAATCATTTAGCTGTCAAAAATTAAAACGAAAAAAGAAATGGATATTAATAACCAATTTAGAGAGGACATTAAACAAAGAAGCAGAAGAACTAATCTCTTTTGAGACTAAGCTTCTTAACAATTTTCAAGTTTTTTGTAGTCTTTAAAAAGTGAAGGACAAATTTTCTCCTAATGGGAATCTGTAGTCAACCTTCAAGATACCTAAACCTATTATAAGATGTCGGTACCAACAATATCTATAGAGTCTGTTACATAGACCGCGCGGAACTCTTGGTCCGCGCCTATAATAAAGGCAGAGGTTGATTGACAATTCTTTGTTGAAACAAAAAGTTTGGACAAATGCGAGCTTAATGGTAAATTGAATTTTATTCCAGTTAACCTTTGGTGGTTGAGAGCAAGTTACGAGTAGTAACGCTATAATAATAGTATAAAGTATATAAAGTAAATTAGCAGAGATATGTGGCGGCGTGTAACCTGTCTGTTAAAAGAAAGTTGCAAGTTACAATTTAGTTCGCAACCAAATATGTAAAATGGAATTTGTTGTTTAGGACATGCGCTGTTTTATTTTAAATTTAGTTGGTGCATCGTCTTGTTTATTGTGTATTTTTTTATATCTCTTAGCTTCCACAACAATTTTTCCTTTTTTCGTTAAAATCTATTTTAATACGAATTTACTTACTGGTTTAACCACTACAACACGCTACTATCGGTCATCCATCTTAGGCAACTATATGGGCTTGATTTTTGGTGTTAAACACTTAGTTTATGGGCGGTTGCTGGCAATTAAGTCTTTACTTTTAACTTCTTAAAATGAGTAAATCGAGCATCCCGACTTCCCCCTTTCCGCCGCTCACACCTAAGGCCAGAAAGTTCCGCGAAACCTATAGTAACATTTCTGCTGGCACACCATAAAGACGTTCTATTGCAAGGAGTGTGGGGCACTGGCTAATTGTCGAACCGGCGAACCTTCATCTCGGAGATGGTCTTGTCCAGGAACCCGTTGAAGCCGCTGTCCAGCTCGACGGTCTGCTTCTCGCTCAGGCTGCCGAAGCCGTTGAAGGCGCTTCCGTAGCCGTTGGCGAATATGTTCGCCGGCTTCTGCGTCTCGAACGGGTCGTAGCCAACGCCATTCGGGTGCGGCGCGCCGGCGAACACGGACGTCTGCAGGCTGAAGTCGACGTCGTAGTTCGGCGTGGCGGTCGGCGCAAACGGCGTGTGCGCGGCGTTCGACCGCGGCGCGTTTCTGCTCGGCGCGCCGAACGGCGTCGAGCCGAACAGGTCGTTTCCGCTCGGCGTCGGCTGCGGCGGCGTTTGCCGCTTGGACGCTTTCGGCGGCGGCGCGACTGCGAAGCGTACAGATTATTAAACAGTGATATAATAAAGTTTTAATAAGTACTTAAGTATTAAGAAATGTATCTTATTTTGAATGATGGCGTTTTTCGGTCTGCTTCGGTCTCCTTCGTTGTAATAGTTGTCAATAGATGGCATTATGATGCATTCTTTATAAAAATGTGTAAAATTAAGTTTTTTATGAAAATATAAAGCTTATAAAAATAAAACTGGCAGCTTCTTAACAGCTAATGATTCTTAAGTCCAGTATCGTATCGCAGGCGCAAAGGTTATCACATTAAGGGCGTGTTTGCGAAATCTCGCGGAATCTGCAAAAATAGGGGGTTTTCAGGTACATTTTGCGGCAAAACGAAACGAATATAATGTAAGTAATAATTATCACATATAGATCCCTCATTCATCGTCCAATGGTAGATAGTTTTTAATCGAAAATTTTGGTTTATAATATTGTACATGAGAATTTTCGTGACCACTTCACTCAAAATGGACGATATCCTGTTGGGTTTAGGAACATTTTTCTCTTATTTAATAACATATTTTTTTTATTTAAAAATATTTTATGTAAGCACACATGTTCAACTCAAAAGGTTACATTACGTATCAAAATTTTTGAAATTAGTTTCAGAAAAAAATAAAGATTAAAGTCTATTTCTTTCACATTTATATCTTACGCGTGAATCTTAAGTGATTGACATAAAGGTTATTTTACTGGTCACTTTTTTGATTTATTCCACAAAACTATTTAAAGAAATATTAGTCGGCGCTCGGCTGCCGTCATTAGTGGTCATTGTGTCGCTTATAAACAGCAGCTCGTAAGGAAAAAGATCGCTGTACGAATACAAAATATTTGTCGTAACAAAGTTGATACTTTACACATCATGTTCGGACTTCGGACTACGAACGACAAAAGTGAAATATAATTCAAGTGTGAATTATATTTCACTTTTCATATATTTCATATTCAAGTGTCATATTTTTACTAGAAATTAGTAGGGGTTAAAAATTCATATTTCGTTACGGACTTGATGGAGTGACCTGAAGGTGTACTTCGAGAACTGCTACTGGAACTAACAGACGAGATGAGCTACGTGTTTCGAGTTTGGGCTTGTTTTATTAGGTATGGTGAGACCTTGCCTTCTGATTTGTTGGAGTGACCTGAAGGTGTACTGCGAGAACTGCTACTGGAACTAACAGACGAGATGAGCTATGTGTGCCGAGTTTGGGCTTGTTTTGTGAGTTTTTTTGAGACCTTACCTTTGAAATTGATGTATTGGCATGAAGGTATAAGAATACAGTAAAAAAGTTATTTAAAATATGGAACTATGTATTCTACATCAGTTCTGTGTATAAATATTTGTGAAACATGTTAATATAAAAAAAATTGAAATTTAGATTATAATTATGAGTCAATAGAGTATAAATATAAGTCAAAGTAAATCACAAGTGGTAGCCTCGTACTGGCCATCGCAGTGTAGGACGACCCCCCACTAGATGGAGTGACGACCTGTGCAAATGTGCGGGAAGTCGATGGATGCAGGTGGTTCAGGATCGTACTTCGTGGCAGTCTATGGGGGTGGCCTATGTTCAGCAGTGGACTCAAACAGGCTGAAATGATGATGATGATGATGATGAAATCACAAGTCAAAGTAATGAATTTTTAATATAAACATTCTACATTACTTAGACATGATTAAATATTTTAAATGTCTAATTTGACAGTGTACAGATTTGATGTAGATAGTCTTGAATACTTTAGAATTTTCGTTTAAATTTAAATACTCCGGGAGGCCTATGAACCTATCTGGTATTTTATTATAAATTCTTATTTCCATGCAGCCAAATGTTGGCCAAAATTACACCACGTGTAGAAAAGTTGTATGGATAATTAAAAATACAAGTAATACAAAACAAATTTGCACACTTGCAAATTGTAAGATTAGGCATGTCTAAAAGGTAACTTTTTTGTACATTGTAATGAATAGGTGTAATAAACATGTACTTCAAAAGTTTCGAACGACAGCTATGTGGCAAACTTTTTGTTTCACGTTTATGACCCCATTTATCGTTTATTGTTTTGTCGTGTTTCGCACTGACCAACTTTTATGATCATGGATTCTGCCTAAAATAATACTTAATTTTTTAAATGACTTGCAATCTTTTGGAACAAATGGTATCTATAGTAAGAACGTCTTTAAAATAGGCAAAACACGAAAAAAAAATAGTTATGTAAAAATGTAGTGGGTCTCAACTTAAATTATCAAAGACTTATTTTTATGGCACAGTTATCACATACAACATTTATACCTCTTATAACTCAATTGTTGTTTCAGATGCCAAAGCCTAAAACGATAAAATTTTAGCAGGCTACTACTTCGATATAGATAACAAAAATAATTAAATGATAGAGAACTATAAAGAAAAATCACAAAGATCCGACACAGAGCACCCCGACTCCGTGTGGTCTTCCCTATCGATAGAGTGAACATAAAAAGGCGGAGCCAGAACCTCGTGTCGGAGGTATAAATTGGCCTCGCGGGCTTGCTCCACCCAGGATCGACATAGCAACAGTTCTGGCGAAGAGCATGGAAGAGTCAAATTAAAAAATGAAACAATATTTTTTAAGCTATTGCACAGCTTTTATCGCGGGCTTTGAGCGCGGCGACCGAATCAATAAATTCCGTAACGAAAATAAAACCTAACACCACCCACTCCGCCTACCACGCAAGAGGAAAGATTTGATTGTTTTTATGCATTGAATAGGCTCCTAAACCACTGAACAGATTTGAAAATTTCTTTCACTGTCTGGAAGCTACATTATCCCCGGATGACATAGGATATATTAAATTTTCAAAAAACTAGGAATCCTTACTAAAACTTGAATAATGTAACCCAAAGTGTACAAAAATTACCTAAAATATTGTTTGCATCGCGTGCGCTGCTAAAACTATTGATAATTGTATAAAATAATGTACTACGAATTTGCAGAACACATCATTATTTATAAAAAGTATTGCGACAGTATATGTCTAACTATTATAGTTATGCCACAATAAGTATTCTTTTACTTTAAAATTTTGATTGAAATGCCGCCGCTAGAAAAGGCTCTTTATTTGTATCTTGGTATTAATCCTTATAAAAATAAATTACTTTATATTTAAGACTGTTTCAATATCTTTATATAACTTTTTGAATGATTAAATTCGGACATTCCATTCGAAAGATATCACAAGTTTAAAAATGTTAGTATATTGTAATTTAACTATCCAGAGCTTAGTGACTGACTTAGTAGTTCTTATCATTTTTGTAAATAATATAAATAAATTATATATTATTAATTATAATATATATTAATTATTATATTATTAAAATATTATTATTTATTAACATAAATATAAATATCAAAGAAAAAATACTGCATAAATAAATAATTATAATCGCATAAGTTGATAAAAGATGCTATGCTATAGCTTTACCCCAGCAGAGCCGAGTGCGACAGGTTTTTATTTATAAAAATGTTTTTTTAATTTTTACTAGTTTGTATCCTTCGTTTTATTATTTCATTTTTAGTTTCTAGATACTAGCCCGGCTTCGTACGCCATGCTATTTCCAATTCGTTTACATAAAAATTTTTTTTTTAACATTTAGCATGAATATTATTGAATCAGCAAAATGCATTCAGAATACCATACAATGTATTTTACTCAATTCATTAGCGGGTTTTACCTAATTATCTGCCTACATAGCTACCTTCCTACGTACCCTACTATTACCTACCTATCAAGCTATCTACCTACCGCACGCATAATCAAACATGTATAAAACAAGCTTCTTTTTCTTCATAAAAAATAATTAAAACATAAAATTAAATTATATCCATAATTAATTAAAACGCAAATTATCAACACCTACGAACTTTTAAATGAAATTAAATAAATGATATCTAAATATATAAAAAAATATTCAGTTCAAAAACTTGTTGAAAACAAATTTAACGTAAGCTTAAAAAATAAATGACTTCAAATTAAATAAAAGTATCAAGTTGCGTCAGTTACATAAAGTTTCGCTGCTTCGCGCTTGTCGCTGTGTTTGAATTGAAGCGCGTGAATTCGTAAACGCGTCCTTAATGCTTATTATTTTTCGAACGCTGTAAAAGGTTGTAAATATCGAGAATAAAATTAAAAAAATAAACGCCATTAATCCGTAAAAATTTTAGTAATGAGTAATCTTGTAAATAAAAGAAAAAAAATATTTAAGTAGTTCATTTTCTTCGAACAACTACTTTCTTATAAATTAGTGAATCGACAAACACTCTCCAACGACATTAATGTGATGACCTTTGCGTCACCTTATATGGTTATTACACAATGTGATCAAAGGGGGGTGGTCTTACGTAGCGGTGGCGGTGCCGTCAGAGGGTTGTCGGCAACGGGGGAGGCAAAGCGTGAAACGGGTTCAGACTCGAAAGCGCGGGGGTCGAAATCTGAAACAAATAACGGGCGAAGTGTGAATTTTAGTGTTCACTGTTGCACGAATGGGCAGGTCCGTCCGGGTAAGTACCACGACCTCACAGAAGACCGGCGTAAAGTAGAAGTGTTACACTTCTGCGTTTCGTCTGGTGAGGTACGTGACCGGGGCTCACTTTATTTAAAGGTGCCAACGCATTGGCAGCCCCACGGGTGTTGCAAATGTCCATGGGCGGCGGTTATCACTTAACATCAGGTGAACCGCCAGCTCGTATGCCACTTTCTCATATTAAAAAAAAACTTTTCCACGCTGCGGGGATCGAATCCGCGTCTACGTAAACTGCCTAAAAGTCTACATAAGGTACCCAACCATTTTACCAATTAAGCTAAGCGGCCGATGACCGCAAAGTGCAAAAAAACTCGACATATATCATTCTTTTTTATTGCGTTTTAAGCAATGTTTGGCGCCATTTAGAGTGGATACTTTTCAGTATGAACACCTTATTAATAACATTTAAAGATTTGTCACGATAGATGCTATTAAGCCTAAAAACAGATACCTAATAGAATATTAAATATATTTTATTATTAGACTATTCAATTACTTAATAATTTTTCATTAACAAACCGTCTGTTATCAACCACCATCTGTGATGCCTTCACCGTTTCATTTTAGCCATAAAAAGGTTACGTTAATTGAGCTTTTATTTTTAACTCATCATTAAAGCGTAAATAATGAAGACTAATTGTCTTAATTTATTATTTAGTAGCAATAAAATCTTCTAAATTCATTCAACCCATTCATATGCTTTGTGAACTTTACAAATGAACTTTACGTTACAGTTTTATACGTAAGGATGTTCTAAAAATGTTAGTTTTGTAAAATTTTATTACTCGGTAAATATTGATGATTAAAGAATGTAAATGCTTAATACAATGTTTAAAAGTTATCCTCTATATGTGTGTTCATTTATTGTCGCGGTTGTTACGACACGTTGTGTAGTATATTAATATTTTTATATTAATTCATACACTATCGTATTACAATTCGAGACCAATTTTGTTTATTTTTTAAATATACCTTGCACAGCCTTAGGGAACAATTAAAAATACTCTTTTCTGACGTCTCTGTGTATACAACAAAGTGTATGAAAATATTCTTACCGCTGTCCGAATCTGAGTTGAGCAGTAAGCCTTCCAATTTGGTGCCCACTACGGGATTCTTGTTAGAAGACAGATCTCCTAGGAGCTTCCTGCAATGAACGCAAAACGTTTTAACCATTAAAGAAGAGATTTTTCAATATCACGTGCTATGACATAATATGCAATTTCGCACACATTTTTACGAGACGTCCCAGGACAACTGATTTTAATTTTTTTAAGTTAGTAGTCAAGTACAATTTTTGTTTTTAGGTTAAAAAACTAGTGTGACTCACCCTGTGCTGCTTGTCTTGCCGTTGTGCGTCGGCGGCGGGGTGGACAGCAACAGGTTGTTGTCGTTGCTGGAGTTGAAGGTGTCAGTGGAGTTGTTGGACAACGCGTCCCCGCCTGGAGACACATAAGCTTGGTCATACACCAAAATCAGACAGGGACAGACGTATAGTTAGAAAGAGATGGATTTCAATTTCCCGCTTTCGTCTTTATGCTCTCTGCGTTTCGGCCCTCAGTATATCGCTGACCTGGTCGCGTTAGACGAATCTAACGTGTCTTTACATATTTTCCCATTTGTCAGTGTTTCCCCATTCAGTAATGGCTTTAAAACACTTACGATTAGAACAATTATATTTTCAATTTTGTATGATATATTACATAACAGACGTGCGAAGACCCGATTTTGATTTTAAAATCTGTTTAGCAGTGCTTTATAATGTACAGTGTTGCAGTTTTGCATTTGACTCATTCGAAAATAGGCTCTAAACGTAAAACAATTAGGTTTTTATTCTTACGTACCATTACAGGGGTTGGGGATTCCGTGTTGCAATTATATTTAATCCTAAATTCAAATATTATATCCGATATATCTCTTGATAATCACCATTCATTATCATTTCTATAAACTTAAACAGTCATGACGAGATGTTGCTATATAGTTAAAATAAGCTTTATTGCAATTATGATTATTCTCTTGCACACGATGTCTTAATTCGGTCGTCTTGAGAAAACGAATGCGCTTTAACTTCTAACTCAATAAAATTGTTATTCCTACGCACCAATGTCGTCCCTATCATAACGTCATCCTAAAGTCAGCCCTAAGGTTACCGAATACGGTTGTTATACGTACGATTTTTGTTTTGTACCAATGTCATCCCTATGACAACGCCATTATCTATGACTTACTTGACTTATTGTCCTGTTTCCCCTAGTTGGGGCAGAGGGCTTCCACAGTGCGTCGCCATCCCGTCCGGTCAAGCCATTATCTGTAGTCAGCCTTAATAGCTACATGATAAGGTTGTTTTATCCGTACGCACCAATGTCGTCCCTATCAATACGTTATTGTCTAAAGTGAGCCTTAACGCTTTATTCTGCAAGTTTGATCCGTAGGCATCAACTTAGCCCCTATCACATCGCCATCGTAAAGTGAGCCTTAACACTGGGAGAATTAGGTTGTTATCCGTAAACGCCAATGTCGTCCCAATCAAAACGCCATCCTAAAGGGAGCCTTAACGGCTGCAGAATAAGGTTGTTATCCGTACGCACCGATGTCGGGGGTCTTGTTGCCGTTCATCGCGCTGAACCCGTTGGCGAGCGTGAGCGACGCGATCTGCTTGTCCAGCTCCTGCGGCGCCTTGAACTCCGTTATGTCGGCGAGGCCGTTGCGCGCCAAGTACGCGGACAGGTCGTCCTTGTACGTTATCTTGGACAGCTCCTGCACGTTCCAAATTTGAATGTTATTTTTTTTTATAAAGATTTTATGTCCTGGCAACAAGAACTTTAAGCCAAATTTGAATGTAAACAAACAATACGTCAAATAGGTTTCACTTTTAATGGTCACGTTCCAAATTAGAATGAAGTTCCACAAATAATACGCCGAATAGTTTTATTTTTAATGCTCGTTCGTAATGTTTATAATGTTCCGTCGTATCTGTTTATCTTTTTCGGTGATCAATGTTTTTTGTAGGTAATTCCTATTAATTATTGAGTTGTCACTATTAAATTCGTGTATTCGTGGTATGTGTTTCGCGTTTGCGATTTCATGCATCTAAAGCAGAACTGTGAAAAAACCATCAATATGCGAGAGTCGACATTAAAAAAAATCTCGAAGTAAAAATGCAACAAATTTTGCACGTACCACATTTGAATAAAGAAGTAAAACAACAACAAATGTCGAGGGGAAAAATGCAATAAATTACTAAAGAATAAAACAACAACAAATGTCGAGGGGGAAAATGCAATAAATTTTGCACGTTCGAAATTTGAATAACTAGTAAAACAATAGACACCATGTACTTTTATTGCTATTATTAAAGCTGATTTACCACCCGCTCGCCGGTGAAAGCAAACATAATGAGGAGACGTATATATTTAGGAAAAACTTTCACAAAGATCAAGAAAACATTAAGAAGATAGATTCCGACAATCCGAGGTGGAGAGTCGCATGTCGTTTGCCCAATTGTGGGACAGAGTTATGACGAACTTATGACTAAACATGCATGTTACGCACCTGTAATCGACTCTTATAGACGTTCATCTGCAGCTCTAGTTTCTTGTTCTGCAACGAGAGCTTCTGCATTTCTATGTACTTGCCGTTGTCATTTAGGAACCGCCTGTAAATGTGAAAACTGACTGTTAGTTGACTGACGTTAGCATTTGTGACGTCACTACATGAACGAAAAATATTGTAAGACAAATTAAGTTGTTAGTGACTCGCTAAGCGAAAGCGGTAAGAATAGAAGGGTAAAAGAGGTGCGCAGTTTAGTATCTTTATACTTTTTTATTGCGGTATTGGCAGATCCGTCGGGGTAAGTACCACGACCTCATAGAAGATCGGAGTGCAGTGGATCTGTTATGCTTCTGCGTTTCGTCTGGTGAATGAGGTAGCCGGGGCGCGTTCAATTAAAGGAACGCATCTGCAAACCTTCGGGTGTTGCAGGTGTCAATGGGCGGAGGTTATCATTTAAAATCAGGTGAACCGCCAGCTCGCTTACCACCTTCTCACATAAAAAAAGAAGAAAAGAATTGAAGTGTGTTTGTCATAGTGTACATAACAAACTAATTATATTAAAAATTGACAGAAATCTACAATTATTGAGTAATACTAAGGAGCTACAAAAATTATGATTCGTATCAATTATACGTTCTTTTTGCAAAAAAATACAGTAATATTAAATCAATTTCTACCTATCTTACATACAATGCCGATAAACTTGGCAAATTTACACGTTGCATAGAATTTTGACGGTCTTATTTCCTTATTCGTATAAGCCTGGTTACCCGATAAAAGGCAAATATCGTAATAGCGTTAAACATACACTCTAAGCTTATTCAAATATTCTCCTACTATATCTTCCTCGCTATCGGACAAAGCATTATGAATAATACATGGTGCTGTTTATCTCGTAAAGATAAAGTTATTATTACTCTTGGAACTGACGTCGAGAAATTATATGCAATATTTATTTAAATATACATAAACATTCTCGCAATATACTCATAATTCAAATTATATATTTTTATGCATTTACTACACTTTTATGATAATATCAAAATAGTTTCGTTTTTATTTTGGTCTCACCACAGAATATAAACTGCATTGTGACGACTACGAATAAAATCATGAACGATCATCAACATTATTTTAATTACAATTAAGCGTTAATAGCAGTCTGTGAGTTACATGAGTATTATAATCAAAGAATATTTTATTTTTCTATATATAAATAACATTTACAAAGCCTATTGTAATTAGCTCGCCTTTAAGACTCAAAGCGTAAATGTAAATTTAACGAAAGTAAAATCATTTAATTATTTATTTTGTCTTATTTTTGCATCCAACAATTGTAATTAGATTTGAAAAAATAATATGAACAATTCTTTGATGCAAGTAGAACAAATTGTAATGTTTCTAAAAAATAAAATATATTAGAAAAAAATTAAAAAAAACGCATAAAAAAGAATAAAAATAGGAAACAAAAATATTCAACTCTTAGGCCCCGACGAGATTCGAACTCGTGATCTCCTGTTTACTAGACAGGCGCTTTAACCAACTAAGCCACGGCGCCTCATGTCTGACACAATGAAAATCGCGATCACATACATTTATGAAATGTTACCAAAGCAAATTTTTAAATAGATTTTCAACTATATGAAATCATCATATATAAATAAGTTTTAATGCGTGTATTAGTAATCATTAAATATAAGATCAGTATTCGTTAAATAATAAACTATTATGGTTTTGATGAAACGATAATTCAGTTAGAAACAACGCCATCTATTGTTGTGTTTGTGATATTGGTATTTTATTAATTCGTACATCATTTACATTATAATTAAGTTAATTTAAAATGTAAATAGAAACATAATGTAAAATAAAGTGTGAAATATATATTGATTAATACAATTTGCTAACCTGTAGGCTAAATCAAAAGCTTGCCCAATAGTCAGCGTAATTTCCGACGCGAGCTTCGTCGAAATAAACACGAAACACTCGTGTTTCTCAATGGCGCCACTGTCATGGCCGTTCACGCCGTTGACTGTGCTGCCACCTTTTGCGATGAACGAGAAATACTTCTTCGCGCCCTTGTCGTCCGCGCAATAGGATATCCGGTGGAGCGGGAACTGGTATAGTATGTTGTTTGATCTAGGTTCCTATAAATAAAAAAGAATATATCGATACTAAAAATGTAAATAAATGTTATTTCAATACGTTTGCAAGTTTGATACATACATATTATGTTTTTGATATTATGTTCTTAAAACAAAATCATTCAATGAATACGAAAATAGCTACATTTTAACCCAGGTTTTGCGAGTCTTGTTACTAGTTAAAAGTAATAGCAAGATAAGTTTATTAAAATAAACAAAAAACGCGATTGCATTAAAAATACTACTCATTACTTTTTTTTTCTTTTTCAAGGAAACCATATTGAAATGATATAACTTATGTCACTTCCACAACTGACACGCATCAGATGTTGAAATGTTTTTATGTGAAACGTTTTCAAGCGAGCATGCGGTTTACTTGCTGTGAACCGATTACCAGGGGAGTTAGATGAGTTGTCAAAATAACATAAAAGTTCCGCGATATTCTTTACGATAGATGTAAGTGTCTTTAATATTACGTATAACAGCACACACTTCTATGGCTCGGATGTTTTTTAAATTATACTTCTTTTGACGCGTTAGGTGAAAATAATGAGTAAATTTATACGACGCACGCGCACAGCGACGTGAAATTAACACCATGACGCTGGCGGCAATAAGTTGTAATAAATCGTTTTGACACATTATTGATATTAGACGCATTACTAAAGGAAGATTTATCGACTTTTGTTACGCTAAAAAGAATAACTTCTTAAGTGCAAACATGATTAAACACACACATATGATTACACATACACATACACGCTTTTAAGAGTGAACTTTGTAGACTACGTACTTCCACTTCCGCAAATCACATACTTAGGTAAACGCGAATAGAGGTAGTACGCAATCGACATCACTTGTGAAGACGACAGCGTTTGTGTACATCACGCCGTGAAGTCATGGGTGAAATGCGCGGTTGGATTTTGTGGTATTACGTACAAATAGTTCCAAATTGGGGTGAGAAAGGGGCGGTTGTCGTGATAGCGTCCATTATGGCACCTTGAAGGCAATCTGTCTCTGTAAACATGTATTAAAGGTAGTGAGACAAGTCTAAGACTGGTAGGAGGCCTATGGCTTAAACATCTTATAGATTAGTTATCGACGTGAGGGGAGATATGTTAGTTCTGATAATGTAGTTAGTTATCTCTCACTATATACTGATCCGTTTTCGCTGATCAGTCACAGAGCTAGTAGAGTTAATAGAGCTAGACTCTAGAACATAAACCCCGTAGAACCGGGATTGTTAAGTACATTAATAATAACCGCTCTATTGTACAAGGCGGTCAAAAGATGACTTCATGGAGACTTCATCAAGGTAAAGTCGAATAGCGCTAAAAGCACCATCCAATTCAAAAGCGCGCTCTTACTTTACTTATATCACGGTGCCTCTACCAACGTATTGAGGATGGCGATCTTGGGATTGGCTTTAGAATTCCCGTCGTAAGTACTCGTACTAAACAAGATTCACGTTTAAACTTCCACAAAGCCCGTGGCAATCTGACCGAATCGGGAAGAGAACCGGTTTCTCAAGTCTTGATGAATAGGCTGTAAGTGGTGCCTCGTTAAACTCTAGTGGAGCCTTTAACAATGGATACGGAGGCGGTCAAGCGCTTGCGACGCCTGCGACCTTACGTTTGCAGTGCGTGACGTGAAAGTGCGACACGGCGTCGTTAATTCGAAACTGCTTTACCGATTCGAGGGAAACAAACGACTGCTTGACCGACATACCATACTTTTATTTTTAATCAATGTGTTGTGTTTGTTATATAATAGGGATACTAACGAATTTTGGAATAGTAATTTGGTACCACAATTATAAGAAACAGATACGTAGAGGAAACAAAGAGGAAAGTAGTAAAATTATAGCTAATTCTTATTTTTTGGGACGGCGGACGATACGATCAAAACTTTGCCGTTTTTCGGTGTTTGTTGCTGACGAATCACACAAGTGGTTCAAATTTAAAATAGTTTACTTTTAGAATTTAGATATCATCTAAAGTTGTATAAAAGTACAATAAAGTAAAAGCCTATGAATGTCCCAGCTGGGCAAACGCCTCCTCTGTAAAGAGAGTGAGGGCATAGTCCTGCACTAGGCCCCATTGTGGATTGGCGGACTTCACATATTTTCGAAATATTTTTTTGTTATCATTTCGAAAATATACACGTTTCTTCAGTCAGCACTTAAAATTAACACTTTCATTGGTGCTGGCACCGGGGAATCCGAGGATCGAACTCAAGTTGCTCGAGTAAATTGAATTAAAGGCGAGCCCGCTGATACTGAGCTGTATCCACATTCAAATTTAAAACAGGTTGCTAATAGAATTTAACTTGTAAGCTTAGACGTTACTTAACGCTGCAGGCCACCAAACAAGTATTATTCGGCAGATAGTTCCAGCCGGACCACAGCGTTTAGCTTCCCCGGAGGTTGTCGGGCGATGAGATAATCCACGGGACGATTTTATGAGGAAGTGCGAGCGGCCACAAACGGTTTGCCCGTCTGTCGGCGCGAGTACGGATTGGTACGTGTCGTCTCGCGGGCTATTACGGTCCGCGTAATCGCTTCCCGTCATTACGCGCGTCGGGAGATCGCCCGGCGTAATATCGATGACTGAAACGTCGTGTTGCCATGTGGAAAAACGGTAACTGTAACCATTCGTTTTATGTTCGAAAAAGGTTACGCAACATTTCTTTCTTTTTAAATCATACGGCTAGATAGAACGTTTCGCGAATTATTACGAAGACCTCGGTCTTCTTCCAACATTGTGAGAATTCTCCCACGATCAGCGGCGCCGTTTGTGTGTAAAAGTGTTGAAGGTAACTTAACAGTAGTTTTAGCAGTTACATCATAGAATTCAGATACGTTATCCCAGGTTACAAGAGATTTTATAAATCTAAATAATATGAAACATAAATATAGAATAATACATAAAAAACAGAATCAAGTTCAATTGGTAAGGAGTTGGAAGTACTAAATAATAATCATTTTCGCTGCTTGAAAGATAATTTGATGATGTTGTCGCAAATAATTCTTCGATGCGAGAAAGTAACTTCCGACAAAAAAGGGCAATAGTGCATGTATGCAAGTAGCAATATTTCAATAAACACTTTCGAATAGTCTTAAATGTAGAAATTATTTTATATTTATATTTTTAAGAAAATCCATCAAGGATCCTTCGTCAGTTTCCGAATTTAGTGTCCTAGTAGTTTCAAAAAATAATTTAATAAACTTATTTTGGCATCGCCATTATAGTTGAGGGCTGCACGAAGTGTTCAAAAATATATGGATTAATTACAAGTATACATAAACAACAGTTTTTCGCAGATAAAATACACTTTTTGAAAGAAAAAAAAAATGTTATAAAAAGACGGAGTCTCTGAGGCCAAGACTACCGGTAGTAGATAAGAGGTTGATGAGAAATAAATCTATTCATACGTTTAACGCCATTCGTTGGTCTTTGCAACTGGCACCGTTATGACATCCCACCTAGATTAATTAAGCCGTGCATCCTGTTTCGCGTTTATGGGCTATTAGTCGCGACCGTTCACAAACCATGATGTCGGTTGCTTAACAATTTCCCGGTCTAATGCATTTTTTTTTAACTTTTTCGCATATCGCCATCTATTTCTGAACAGTAGTTAGTAGTTGTTAGTTTCTAGTTGAAAAAAGTCTATCCATTATAAAACAACTACTAGCGACCCGCACGGCTTTGTACGGGTGCAATGCTAAATGTTTGTTTTCGACATCGCTTTAGAAACCTCTAAAATTATCAGTGTTTCTCTACTGTATTATACATGAATTATATATATAAACCTCTCCCTTGTTTAATCACTCTATCTATTAAAGAAAACCGCATCAAGATCCGTTGCGTAGTTTTAAAGATCTAAGCATACATAGGGATGACTTTGTTTTATACTATGTAGTGACTATGGTCTCCGCACTAGGCACTGCCTTCATCGTGGGAAGATGGCGCTCTTCACTCTGCAGGCACTGAGTTTACTGTTGAAGTCATTCGCGCTTGACTATCGCGAGGCACCTCAGGTTACATAAAGTGAAACCGCCGCGCAAACACAGTTAAATTTAACTAAACTTGTTACGTGGCGTACGTGCTCCGACCGCTAACAGATCCGTCGGGATTACGTAAAGCGCCGTAACGTCAGTGTTTTTTTTGCGCTTTTCGCTTCTTTTCGGGATTTCTAACGCACTCTCCGAAGGTCTCGCGCCTCTGAATAGGCTTCTATTGAGCGAGGAATGGTTACCACCACCGAGTTCACCGTCGCTTACCACCGGCAGGAATGGCAGTCAAGGATTATACAGTCCGATAGTTAAAAAAAAAAAGAAAGAGCGAACCCCTTTTCAATATCATCTCGTCACTTTTAAAGTTAATCTTAAGTTACTTAGCGATAAATAATAGAAGTTAATTCAAATATTGCCAGTTTTAAATTTAAAACTAAGTAGAACAGATAAAATTTATATCGGAATCTAATTTAAATCAATTTTGTCAATTAAATAAATAGATTTTTTTGTAATGCAAAAGAATTATAATGTCTAATCATTGCTGTCCTACATATCAGTAGAACCGACTAGAAGGTTTATAAAAATCATTTCAAAACATGACAATAAAAGAACGAAACTAAAAGCAAGTTTTGCAAATATTCTCGCTAAATGTGATTACGTCAATAATAAACAAAAAAGTGATTAATTCGTTGCACGGAATGAAGATGGTATGATCACGTGTGTAAACACGCAATGAGAAAATAATGTATACAAAGGGTATCGACACAATAACAGGAATAGTTGCATATTTAGGATTGCGACGAATCAATTATCGATATACGTTATGCATAAAACGAAAAGTAAAAAATGTGTGAAAATGTAAAAATTACAGTGTATAAGATTAAGTTAAATCATTTCTTAAGGTCTCTTACATAATTATTACTTGAACACTTTACTCAACATTTTCGAAAGTAATTACTGCGTTTTGCAACTTCTAACACTTGATGTT